ATCTCGATATATCTTTCACTAACGTCAGTACAGAGCGATCTCGATATATCTTTCACTAACGTCAGTATAGGGCACCTCCATATATCTTTCACTAACGTCAGTGTAGAGGACCTCCATATATCTTTCACTAACGTCAGTACAGACGATGTCGATATATCTTTCACTAACGTCAGTACAGACGATGTCGATATATCTTTCACTAACGTCAGTGTAGAGGACCTCCATATATCTTTCACTAACGTCAGTACAGACGATCTCGATATATCTTTCACTAACGTCAGTACAGACGATGTCGATATATCTTTCACTAACGTCAGTGTAGAGGACCTCCATATATCTTTCACTAACATCAGTACAGAGAGATCTTGATATATCTTTCACTAACGTCAGTACAGAAAATCTTGATATATCTTTCACTAACGTCAGTACAGAGGACCTCGGATATCTTTCACTAACGTCGGTGTAGAGCACCTCCATATATATTTCACTAACGTCAGTGTAGAGGACCTCGAGATATCTTTCACTAACGTCAGTGTAGAGGGACCTCAATACATCTTTCACTAACGTCAGTGTAGAGGACCCATCCATATATCTTTCACTAACGTCAGTGTAGAGGACCTCAATATATCCTAACATCAATAAAGTCAGCAGAGTCCCCAATATATCCTTCAGTAACATCAGCAGAGAGTCCCCCAATATATCCTTCAGTAACATCAGCAGAGAGTCCCCCAATATATCCTTCAGTAACATCAGCAGAGAGTCCCCCAATATATCCTTCAGTAACATCAGCAGAGAGTCCCCAATATATCCTTCAGTAACATCAGCAGAGAGTCCCCAATATATCCTTCAGCAACATCAGCAGAGAGAGTCCCCAATATATTCTTCAGGAACATCAGCAGAGAGTCCCCAATATATCCTTCAGTAACATCAGCAGAGAGTCCCCAATATATCCTTCAGTAACATCAGCATAGAGAGTCCCCAATATATCCTTCAGTAACATCAGTAGGGAGTCCCCAATATATCCTTCAGCAACATCAGCAGAGAGTCCCCAATATATCCTTCAGCAACATCAGCAGAGAGTCCCCCAATATATCCTTCAGTAACATCAGCAGAGAGTCCCCAATATATCCTTCAGTAACATCAGCAGAGAGTCCCCCAATATATCCTTCAGTAACATCAGCAGAGAGTCCCCAATATATCCTTCAGTAACATCAGCAGAGAGTCCCCCAATATATCCTTCAGTAACATCAGCAGAGAGTCCCCAATATATCCTTCAGTAACATCAGCAGAGAGTCCCCCAATATATCCTTCAGTAACATCAGCAGAGAGTCCCCCAATATATCCTTCAGTAACATCAGCAGAGAGTCCCCCAATATATCCTTCAGTAACATCAGCAGAGAGTCCCCCAATATATCTTTCAGTAACATCAGCAGAGAGTCCCCCAATATATCCTTCAGTAACATCAGCAGAGAGTCCCCCAATATATCCTTCAGTAACATCAGCAGAGAGTCCCCAATATATCCTTCAGTAACATCAGCAGAGAGTCCCCAATATATCCTTCAGTAACATCAGCAGAGAGTCCCCCAATATATCCTTCAGTAACATCAGCAGAGAGTCCCCCAATATATCCTTCAGTAACATCAGCAGAGAGTCCCCCAATATATCCTTCAGTAACATCAGCAGAGAGTCCCCAATATATCCTTCAGTAACATCAGCAGAGAGTCCCCCAATCTATCCTTCAGTAACATCAGCAGTGAGTCCCCCAATATATCCTTCAGTAACATCAGCAGAGAGTCCCCAATATATCCTTCAGTAAGACGCCGAAGACCCGGGTTCGAATCCCCACATGGGTACAATGTGTGAAGCCCATTTCTGGTGTCCCCCGCCGTGATGTTGCTAGAATATTGCTAAAAGCGGCGTAAAACCAAACTCAGTCAGTCAGTCCTTCAGTAAGATCAGTATAGAGGACCTCGATATACCTTTCACTAACATGAGCACAGACTGTGCTAGACGAGCAATAGCCTGCAGCTATCTCCCAAACAGTACATTCAGTGTGTGGAACGTCGGGGAAGTGCACTCTTGGGTGTACCGTGTGTAAATATTTCCGAGGTGGCGTCACACACAGACAGGAGAAATCAATGACGGCCTACATTGTCAAGAAGCCGTTAATGAAGCCGGAGATACCTGTATTATTCATCAGGTGATTGTCCTACCTTTGCAGGCGGTGTTACCTGTTGTGATTGCAAATATGTACAACAGTATATTACTGTGGCCATTTCCCATACAAAGTTCCAGACCGGTCTGGCATTCACAGTGTGTGGAATTAACATTTACAATAGGCTCGTTAGGCCTCACAACATGGAAGATTATTACAAGAATTTCTGTTATAGATATGTGGGTCCATGGAGTCATTCAAATTGACACGACATAACGTCTGTCTCTGTATGTTTGTGTGTTTGTTTGTTTGTTTGTTTACTCCATAACATCACTTATCAGTATTTCAGTGGTCTGTAAATAATCCAGTCGGAAACAGACCTATCCAGTGACTGAAAAATATATGACTAGTTGATGGTGCTCTGAGGATTAACCTTATGCCTTTTTCCTAAAGTTTAATTTGTTTGTTGTCCATTTGTTTGCTGACGTGATGTAGTCAACTTACGTACGTTATTCTACGTCCTGTAAATTATAACAGATTTTGTGGCGGGTGCTTTTTAAAGTTTTTAACCGAGGTTTACTTACCTAGGTTTCACTACTACTTTTACTTACTAGGTTTCAAGTAAAGCCGGGCAGTGGGGTAGCCCAATGGTTAAAGTGTTCGCTCTTCACGCCGAAGACCCGGGTTCGATTCCTCACATGGGTACAATGTGTGAAGCTCATTTCTGGTGTCCCCCGCCGTGATATTGCTGGAATATAGCTAAAAGCGGCGTAAAACCAAACTCACTCACTCACTTACTCAAGTAAAGCCAAATATCATGATCCATGCTTATTCCTTTTGCCTTGAAATTTGTTTGTCTGTTTGACTTGTTCTTTAACGACATACTCATCAATCTTCCCGCCATAAGTCTGGACCAGACAATCACATACAGTAAGTAAGCAGAACCACCTTCAAACACCCAACGATGAACGATTATCTCATTACGCTGTAATGTTGAGGAAATGTTCAATATTTCAACGGAATTAGCACGGGAGAAACTAGATGGCCATGATCAACCCCCGACTTAATGCCCAATAAGCTCATCACACACATTTGTATTTGACCAGTCCGTCCATTTAATTAAGGTATGAACATCTAGATCCAGCTTTCACCGACACAGCTTGCTTTAAACCACCATGATGACGTTGCGCTATATTTGGTGCAGTTGATTCCCAGCCAGGAATTCAATGGCCAGTTAGAACGTTTATTTAAGAAACAAAACTAACGTAATAAATCATTTCGCACGTTTATAGTACTTCAATCACAACGTGGTTCAAGTCAGATAAGACTAGATGCTCATACTGTTGATCACTGGATTGTCTGATCCAGATTGGATTATTTACCGACCGTCGCCATATAGCTGTAATATTGCTGAATGCGGCGTGAAACAACAAACAAACAAACAATGAACCACTGTTTGTCGTAAGGTCCGACTAACATATGAACCCGCTGGCACCACGAGTTAGACTTTGTCCCCAACAACCTATCCTGTAGTAAGAGGCGAATTAAGGAATCAGGGCCCCGTGCCACAAAGCGATCGTAACTCCCATACTTGAATATAGGCTTAGGACAGGGCTAAAGCCTCTTTATGGACCTAGGCCCTGTTGGTGTCGGCGTATCCTGACGGCGTGGATCGCTTCCCTTAACATCAATCACTGGATTGTCTGGTACAGACCCGATTATTCACAGGTCGCCTTCAGTTACGTGGAATGTTGCTGACTGGGGGCCAAAGCAAAATGCTGAATATTATGATAATGGTATCAGTAGTTACCATGCATATGTACATGCATACCATCGGTATACGGTTTCTGATATCAGTCACACACATGATGATATGTGGTTCTACAAAGTTAAACCTTATCGAAAAGATTGGGAAAGGATCGTTCCACATTGCAACAGAAAAAATAATCAGATAATAAAAGTAATTCTCGTAATGCAAACTGGATGCAAAATGTATACTTTGTAAATATAGTTTGTCAAAAGATCAACTGATCTGAAAACGCTAACAACTAGTGTCAACTATTAAACCAGCTGTCACGTGCACTATAAAAGTACTAGTTTAAAGTACTGAAAAAAATATTCCCAAAAAATATTTTTGATCTCAAACTGTTTTGTTCAGTATTTTAATGCACATGCCAAATTAACCATGTCTGTGTCTCGCTTCTTGTATTATGATCATGAGAGATCCTTTAAGGCTTGCATATATGTAAAAGTGCTTACCAATTCCTGGATTCGACCTAGGCAAGACAAGCCAGGCAGTACAAACTAATCTGATAAAGAATTAAATAGCCATTGAGCCAATAGGAACTATGCAAGGAATGAGTATATAATCTTGCATAATCGCATAGACTTCAACTTCATTCTGTACATCTAAGTCACAAGATTTTTTAAAAATATGAGCAGTTCAAACTTGAATATTTCCTTAACGTTTTGTAGTCGTATTGGTTTTGGTGGTGGTGGTGGTGGTGCTGCTGCTGCTGCTGCTGCTGTTGACACGCATTAGAGACTCCTCGCACATATACGGTAACCAAGGTTACAAGATATTTATTTTCAAATCACTTAGCACAGTGTATATGCTTCTCCTAATTCATCAATATACTGTTCTTTAGGTTGGTATGGATTTACATTACCCTGCTATAGGTGACATATATAAAGAAGCTACGAACATATTTTTTAAACATTTATGAGTGGAACAATGTATATGGTATACTGTGGAAATGAATAATTAATAAGGCTACAAGATGTGCGAGAATTGAATATTTAGTACCAGTATATGGTATCAGTGAGATAATTGGGCAGAACTTACCAATTCCAAACGGCGCTTCTTCATCTTTGCCTGGTTTACCGCAGTAGTCTTTGTCGGCGATGTATGCGACGACCACGAGGATGGGGAAGAACAGCAGCGTGACAATGGCCTCCCATAGGTCAACGTAATCAGGGGTTATTCCTATGAGGATGACCAATAGCCATAGATATGCAAAGAGGCTGAAAATGCTAGTTACTGCAAATACCTTCACGTTCTTGATCAGCTTCTTCTCAGCTGCTGGAACAGCTACGATACACATGGCAGTGATAACAAACAGATTGAATGCTGCGGATCCAACGATGGTACTGGGTCCAAGATCCTTAGATCTGAAGCCATTGAAGCTGACTTCAATAACGGATAGTAAGATTTCAGGGGCACTTGATCCCAGAGCCATCAGCGTCAAATTGGCTACAGTGTCATTCCATACTTTAACCTCGACATCAATATACCCAGTTGGTGAGGTAGAAGAATGGATCCGAATCGGTCTAGTCCGGCTGGTGATGGTTTCTATAGAACGCATGAATATGTCAGCAACTATAGACACTGCCATGAAGCTCCATAGGAGACCAATGAAATAAATGGTGGCTCGTGCGGCTATAGGCCATGTGTACTCACTGACGAAGGGCATCAACAGCCCTATATCAGAGCATTGATAGTTCTCCACGTTACATGTGGTCGTGTTCGGCATGGTGGACGCGTTGTGTCGTCTGCTACCTCCTCAAGGAACTGTCGTCTGCTACTTTCACAAATAACTGTCGTCTGCTTCTTTCAAATGACGTCTGCTTGGTGTTCATCTGGAAGAAGCAAACACAACACGCATACACAAGGAACTTCGACTTGTTTTCTTCATTTATGAGTGAGTGAGTTTAGTTTTACGCCGCTTTAAGCAATATTTTCGCAGTATCACGACGGGGGACACCAGAAATTCTTCATTTATGATCTCTGATCAAGGATAGATGGCGTGAAACGGCTGTCTTTAACAAAATATTGTTTCAACCTGATTCTACTGTTTCTCAAAGCTTCAGGTACGCAGAAATACGAGAATTTATTGATGCAGCTGTATAAACGATTTTGTAATGCATGTAACATGGAGTATCATTTAGCAGCTGCTACAGACTTCGTTATACTTGTAATATGAGACTATGCCACGTTCCGTCCATGCACAAAGACAGGTAGGCCTACAAGTAGGTAAATTCATGGCCTGTGTTTCGTAACGGTTACGGACTTGACACGATGGTACAAGCTAAAAGTCATACAATACACACTCAGCAATTATACCAAATGGAAATAATCCTGCATGTACCATATAAACAAGTGGTTGATGTTATGAGCATCAACCCAAGACGTCTGGGTACAAAGACATGTAATCTTAGTTTAATTTTGGGCGGTGGGGTAGCCTAGTGGTTAAAGCGTTCGCTCGTCACGCCGAAGGCCCGGGTTCGATTCCCCGCATGGGTACAAATTTCTGATGTCCTCGGCCGTGATGTTGCTGGAATATTACTAAAAACTGCGTAAAACCATACTCACTCACTCGCTCGCTCACTTAGTTTAATTTGGACATTACGCAAGGGAATATGGCTTTTAGAAGTATGAATAAAGATGAACGGTATCTGTTTACAACCAATGTAGGTGCCTTCATCATTAACATGGCTAATTGATGACTTCTTTCAGTCAGATATACACCCGGTATATCCAGTTGACATCATTCAGACACACAGTGAGTGAGGTTAGGTTTACGCCGCACTCAGCAATATCAGAGCTATATGGCGGCGGTCTGTGGATAATCAAATCTGGACCAAACAATCCAGTGATCAACAGCATGAGCATCGATCTACGCAATTAAGATACGATGACAGCGAACCTGACCATCCGATCTCCTGAGTCGCCTCTTACGAGAAGCATGGGTTACTGAAGATCAGATGAGACTGACTGACTGACTGAGTTTGGTTTTACGCCGCTTTTAGCAATATTCCAGCAATATCACGGCGGGGGACACCAGAAATGGGCTTCACTCATTGTACCCATGTGGGGATTCGAACCTGGGTCTTCTGCGTAACGAGCCAACGCTTTAACCACTAGACTACCCCACCGCCCCAGATCAGATAAGAAACATGTACAGGAGACATAGTGGCGGTAGGGTAGTCTAGTGGTTAAAGCGTTCGCTCGTTCCACCGAAGACCCGAGTTCGATTCCTCACATGGGTACAATGGGTGAAGCTCACTCACTCACGACATATTATGAAGTCATATTTACAAACTTAAATCCAGTTCATCATTGTTCAGTCGGACATACACCTACATAGACAGAATACCAAGTAGAAACCTTCCGATAGACCGCCCCACACAGATTAGACACCTTTCACTGAACTGTGACTGACACATACAGAATAGGTCATCTGTTCACATGTAGGTCAGTGTTAAGGCTTGTGACGCGCAGGCCATTCAGAAGTATCCCACGTTAGGTCATTCAACCGTGTTGTTCAGAAACACGGCCATGTGACCTTCACCCAACACCGACGCTTAACCAAAGACCCGGCAACAAGGCGAGGCGAGAGGGAACGCCATTAGCGGTGAATTCTGTTACAAGATTTATTTCTTCTACGCCCGACCTGTACTGTGGCTATGGCTATAGAGTCGATCTCCGGCAAATAAACATTGCTTATGACGACAGGGTGACAATGAATCCGTGCCAATGAATTCAGAGCTCTATGTCACTGCACCTCACAACGGTGCGGGTTAAGCAATAATCTCAAACAACCATTTGCCGTCGTTTAGGTCCTGGCATGACTTCAAACACGCTCGATTATCCAGCGTACGTGGATATCTAGTAAGCTGGATGTTTAAGTGAGTGAGTGAGTGAGTTTGGATTTACGCCGCTTTTAGCAATATTCTAGCAATATCACGACGGGGGACACCATGAATATTTGAGGATGACTCAGTCTCAATGGCGGATCCAGGAGGGGCTGGGGGTAGGGGTGGGGGTTGTTTGGGAGTGTTCAGGGGATTCGGAACCCCAATCCCCACACACTCTTTGAAAATGACTAAAAGACCACATTGAAGTTAATGTTTTGCATTGGCGGAGCCAACGTTGGGTTCAGGGTGTACGACAAAAATTCTCCGTGTATTCATATACAACTTGTCATATATACTTATACTTATATATTCATTCAGTATTAATGCGCTCAAGCACACACATACATTTATTTATTTATTCTGTATTTACAATACTACTTTATCATGAATCTTTTATTTCGTACAGCTTGTTACAGTACTGTGCAACAATCTGGGCTACTGTGAATATTTGCATATCAATCCCTTATTATAGACAGGGGCAGTGGTGTAGCCTTGTAGTTTAGGGTTCGCTCGTCACGTTAAAGACCCGGGTTCGATTTCCTACATGGGTACAATGTGTGAAGCCCATTTCTGGTGTCCCCGCCGTGATATGGCTGGAATATTGCTAAAAGCGACTTAAAACCATACTTTAATATTCTTCCCTTCTGTTAGGATCAGTGTTCATTCTGTCAACCACTAGTTTAACCAGTCAATCATTTTCAACTTAGAAGCGTTGTTGCAAACCGCTAAAACTTCTTATCAGCACCGCTGTGACGTCACGGTTCACGCAGGTATATTTTTTTATGCGTCGATACTGTTTGTTCCCGTTGACCCATTAGCACACATCCCAACCCTAACCCTCACCTAACCGTAAATCAGAAAACACCACCCCGTTACTACCAAAATATTGTGTACGTAGGCGGGGCCAATTTGTTTGTATTTGACCCGATCGTTGTGCCACAGTTAATATAGAAAGCTACCGTTCGAAAATTATTCATGAACAGGCGACATTCGTGGAGTGAGACTGAAAGTTAATATCATGAGAGAAATATCCACTTACTCATATATATTCGTTTAAGGAGCCGCAGAGTATATCTTTTGTATGATAACCGGTATCAGCGTATAAAATGTCTTTGTTTCGAAAGGTCGCTTAAAAGTTTCATGTAAGCGTTTCCGTTTAACAATAACTATTCAAAAGATTGTGTATTGCAACATAAATAAAATAACTATTTAAACATTTAAAGGACTTATGCACAATCTTAATTAAATGGTTTTGTTTCATGTTGGGTTTTCAACTTTTGGATTTTAAAGATGTATCAAATACAATCGAAAATGTTAAGATAGAAAGTATAAAGTGTTGTACGACGACAAGTATATTCAAACAAATATTTGTAGTGTAAATGCAACATAAAAAAGGACCGCAGATGAAAAATAACATCTGGCAGGAAACATACTTCGGTTTGTGTAAATGTAAACCTGTAGAATAGTAAATAGACACTCGTCAGAATATTCATATAGTTTCATGGAAATATAACCCGAAATATCTGTGTTAATCATATCGTGCAATATCTAAGTCGCTATCAGTATGTGAATGACAAACCACTCTACCTGTATTGAAATACGCGTTAAAAATCTAAATCCCTAATTCAATTAAATATATTTTATTCCTTATAAACCACCGACGGCTGTACAAGAGGTTGTACAAAGTTATAACAAATTTATACATTTAATACAAATACGTACAATATGCTGCTGAAAGGCTATTGCTGAATTGATACCATAGTACTTATCTACAATAAACAGATTTTGCTGAAGGTGTAAGATCTTTTAATAAGGTTGAAAAGAATAAACATTCAAGCCATATCAGATATTATTTTTTGGAATATATAAAACAATCATCCACGTGAAAAGGCCTGGCAACAAAATATACACGTATAGTGAAATAGACTCTCTACTGACAAAAACAGTAGCCCTAACAATGAAGTTGCAACATCACACCTTTAAACATACATAGCCATGGCGATACATATTTTTCAGGGATTAAGATAATCCTCAAGATCACGCTGCCGTGGCAGCACGTCCGTCTATCCATTGTGTTCATCTGTATTATTGATTTAATATTCCATCACTCACCTGTTTCACCCTCCACTCTCCAGCGTTGGGGACAGAAGCCAGTGTGTTTATGTTTGTCGCTAGCAAAGTGGGCCGACGTAACGCGATTCTACCCTGGCTGTTTTTACCTGTCTCTCCAGTGCAGCGTGTTTTGCGCGTTGCTAGCAAACACCCGCCAGTGGACGAGACATTCGTACAGGTAATCTACAAGGGCGACAACTGGTGCTTTCCAAACACGGTTTCCATGATGCGGGTATAATTAGATCGTTCCACATGCTGACGTACGACGAATGAGATGAAATATTTATTGAATGGTTCAGAGGTATAATGTTCAGGAATTATTCTGAAGAATATTTGAAGGAAACCGGTTCATATGCTATGGTTTTCGTTTTGGGGTGAAATTATGTGCAAAGCGTTGCATATGGATACAATTTGTATTCACATACATTAGGGGTAAGTTTGTTTGGGTTTTATTTCGAATTCACTATTTTTTGTCGAGTTTAAACAAATCCGGGATTCGATGACTTCGGGTTGTTATCTAATGAAGATAACACCACATTATGAATAAAATGATGATTATGATAAGTGAGTGAGTGAGTTTAGTTTAACGCCGCACTCAGCAATATCCCAGCTATATGGCGGCGGTCTGTAAATAATCGAGTCTGGACCAGACAATCCAGTGATGAACAGCATGAGCATCGATCTGCGCAATTGGGAACCGATGGCATGTGTCGACCAAGTCAGCGAAACTGACCACCAGATCCCGTTAGTCGCCTCTTACGACAAGCATAGTCGCCTTTTATGGCAAGCATGGGTTGCTGAAGACCTATTCTACCCCGGATGATTATGATAAGTGAGTAATTAAGCCGCTTTTAGAAATATTAGTTCTGGGCCAAATGCTACAAAAGTCTTTAGGATCTCTCAGCAGCAGTTAAAGTGTCCAGTAATTAGTATGGCACCTCCCATCCCTCCAGAGATTCTTGTTGATATGGAACTAGCCACAGAATGTATCAGGTTACTAAAAAACAAGGTTTACCCGACTGTTGAAACAGTGTCCACGTGTCCATAGACCAACTGCATGAGTATCAACCACATGGTCTAATGGACGGTGACAAGCACTGGTGTTCAACATCGTCAAGATGTGCAGTAAGGGGGATAAGGCCGGGTGTATCATATTACATGACTTTGATGTTATCTCTACATTTGGCCTTGGAGTAATATAATGGGTAAATCAATCGTTTACTAGTGGTATGGATATACTGTGGTAGCCCCCTGGTTAAAGAGTTACGCTCAAGTCTCTGGTTTGACTCTACGCATCATTATGTGGAGCCCTTTACTGGTGTCCGGTCCTCTCTCATGGATGTAGCATATTACCTTATTTTGATGCTATCTCTACATGTGGCCGTGGAAATAGGCTTTTGGAGACAACAGAAATGTGCTTCTCTCTCACGACGTCAATCACTCTACGCATAATTACTGGAGGGCTCTCTCTCTCTCTCTCTCTCTCTCTCTCTCTCTCTCTCTCTCTCTCTCTCTCTCTCTCTCTCTCTCTCTCTCTCTCTCTCTCTCTCTCTCTCTCTCTCTCTCTCTCTCTCTCGATCTCTCTCTCGATCTCTCTCGATCGAAGCTCAGTCTATCCGGGAGATGGGCGGTGAGGTATTCTATAGTGGATATGCGTCCGCTCGTCACGCCGAAGACCCGGGTTCGATTCCTCACAATGTGTGAAGCCCATTTTTGGCGTGCCCCGCCGTGATATGACTGGAATATTTCTTAAAGCGACTCAAAACTAAACTCACTATCCAAGGATAACTGATTGAAGCGAGTGGCTAGTTTGGCTTTATAAACCCGTTAATCCACACACTTTGTCCCCAAGCTATTTATATAAGAACACACACACAGGAACCTTTAGCATTATTTATTAATCGTTAATTGGATGCTGATTCGGATGAATTCACAAAGCCCCATAAGATTAACTGATTTCTTTATATTCCTCATTCAACATCACCATGCGTGTTGTTCTATTTACTCCGAGTAAGATAAACATATGCACGAGGATTTTCAGATAGTATTCGACGTACCAGTGCATTCCGATGTAATATCATAGGTATAAAAATATTGATAATAGTAATGTTATTTTGTGTTTGTTAGTTGGGGATTTTTCATTCTTTTCTTCTGTGCTTGTTGCATATTAAATATTACAACCTATAAGATGCCGGGGAAAAACAGGTAACTATGTTTTAATTTTGTTTGTTGTTTAAGTCGATCATTATGAAGAATGACAAAGGTTGACTTAAATGTCTAAATATTTTTAAATTATAAATTTGTAACAACTAATGTTATTTAGCTTTGAATTCATATTAAAGTAAATGAAGATCGTACCGGTGACTATTTATATCGTAAGTGCCGAAAATGACCACTTAACCTTTTATTTCTTGTTCAACGCCCCACTGAGTAATGTTCCAGCAGTATGGCTGTGATCTGTACATACTTGAGTCTGGACAAGACAATCCAGTGATTGACGTCATGAGAGACAAGCACATTTCTGTTGTCTCCAAAAGCCTATTTCCACGGCCAAATGTAGAGATAGCATCAAAATCAGGTAATATGCTACACCCATGAGAGAGGACCGGACACCAGTAAAGGGCTCCACATAATGATGCGTAGAGTCAAACCGGGACTTGAACGTAACTCTTTAACCAGGGGGCTACCACAGTATATCCATACGACTAGTAAACGATTGATTTACCCAATATATTATACTAGTTAGTCCACACAAAGCTAGTCTGTCTCTGACAGCCACTGGTTCATTGTAATTTCCCTTCCGTCCACACTGGGGTGGTGGGGTAGCCTAGTGGTTAAAGCGTCCACAAGCGTCCACAATCTGTGAAGCCCATTTCTGGTGTCCCCCGCCGTGATATTGCCGGAATATTGCTAAAAGCGGCGTAAAACTATACTCACTTACACTCCCTCCACACTTAGTGTAATAGCATATTTTTAAATGAAGCTAGTCAAGCCTGGGACCAGCTTGACGGAGGGGCTCTTTAACCACCAGGTTACCAGCCTATATTCCATACGACTAATACCAGATCGATTTACTCATTATATGTGTTAGTCGACACAAAGCTAGTCTGTCTCACAGTCCTTGAACCATTGTATCTTCCCTTCCATGTCATATCATGAAAGCAAGTGTAGATTCTCCACAGGTCACTTCTTGTTTGTGGCTAATTAGGATTAACACCGTCTGCACGACCCAGTGCAGCTTCCCAAGATACATGTCAATATATGTGCATTGAAAGACCTCTAAAGGTGGGGGCGGTGGGGCAGCCTAGTGGTTAAAGCGTTGGCTCGTCACGCCGAGGACCTGAATCTCTTCGATTCCCCTCATGGGCACAATATATGTGTTAAGCCCATTTCTGGTGTCCCCGCCGTGATATTGCTGGAATATTGCTAAAAGCGGCGTAAAACTAAACACAGTCAGTCAGTCTAAAGGTGGTGTGCAGTCATGTTCATTGAGCTGAGGTCACAAATCAGTTGAAGTTAAGCAACGTTGGTCACGGAGAGACCTTGGATGGGTGACCGTGTTTGGCAGTTTGATTCCTGAGAGATTCTGGGACTTCAGTCCTGCCCCACAACGACGCACATGTGATACACGTGGTCTCGCCTGAGGCAAGTGAGTTTGTTCAAAATTGCCTCTGTTTACCCAGCAGAAAATGGGTACCCGGTGGGATAAGACATGTGAATATTAACCTAGCGCGTCACAGGCTGTTTGGGTTATCCGGGGTAATAATAACCAGATTGTTAGCGCTGTGAGCATTCACCTTGTGAATGGAATTCAGCGCATTATAAATGTACTTGTTATCATTATTATTAAAGGTATTATCTTCGCACACAGCCATTATATGATATGTGCTCAAAGAAGTACCATTACAAATCGATATACCATACACTCCGTATCTAACGACCTGTTGTTATTTTCCCTACCACTTACTGCTTATTTTAGTGGAAGTGTATTATGCGGACCTAAATCTACTGAGGTGAGGTGAAATTGGGTTTAACGTCGTGCTGGAGAATATTTCGCTCATATGACGACGTGCATGCGTGTGTATGTGTATGTGCGGCTGCTTGTACTAGCCCAGACTTAAGCTGGTTTTATAGTGCTAGCTCACTGAGATACCATGCCGCAATGAAGCATGAATACCCCACTCAGACACATTATACTGACTCCGAGCCGACCAGTCCTTGTTGTACCCATTAATGCCGAGCGCCAGGCAGGGCCCAACAAGTACCATATTTTAACGTCTTTTGGTATGACGCGGTCGGGGATCGAACCCGCGACCTTCCGCTCTCCGGGCGGACGCTCTAACCACTACACCACGGAGGTGGTAACCTAAATCTACTGGCTCGTCTTGAGTTAACCACAGCTTACTGTATCGTTCACCGCTGATCTATGATATTATCGCTAAATATTTTTTCTTTTCTCTGTGTGTGCGCGAATCACCCTCGTGTCGTAGGTACACCCAGCCTTCTTGAAAGTCGCAACCTAAAACCTCTCGAACAATGTTGTGGGGGTAGGGGTAGGTAACTATATATGAGACTTCTTGTCCGAATCGGACCGCCTTAGGCTGTTGACAGGGTCGGACGTGCTTGTCAGCCGCTCCGCTGTAAGGGCCTGTGTTGGGTCTATAATTTCATATTCAGTTCTACGTTTGGCTTATATTTCTGTATTATCATTAAGGTAAGTGATTGTAGGCTATCGAGGGTCAAATATTGGCTTATTTTGCCATAATTGTGTGTTTTGTTGGCTCGCGGTGACTTACCGCACCACGTGGCCTCGGTTTTCGCGCATTGTGTCTGCGTGAAATTTTTCAATTCGACTTGGTCATAGGACTATTTGGGTATGGAGAGCGACACTGATGGGGATGGGGATGATAATATTTACGTTACCTCATTTGAGGAAACCTCGACAGATGCTGAATTTGCAGAGAAATACGTGTCAATGATTTCCAAACGTTTGAAACGAAAACATGAGGATGACCGAGTTGTAAGTGATACGACTTCGTCATTACCTATCAAATTTGTTGTCATTCTTACTTCTGTTGACCCAAGATTACGTTTGACAAACTTGAGT